CTAATGCAAACAGTATCGTTGTGCCTTTTTGAGTCGTATATGTGGAATTTCCTTTGGCATTGTGTTGGAATGTCCTTTATATGCGTATATTTTAATGTAATATGTTTAAGATAGGGTACTGAGTGGAATTGTTTTCTTGCAGGCAGACTTAAGTAAACCTGAAACTATACCAGCAACATTGGTTGGCATTCACACAGTTATCGATTGCGCTACAGGACGTCCTGAGGAGCCGATAAAAACCGTAAGCACAATTGCCGGTGGAATGACTTCCAATTCTTTGAAAATGATCAGTTTCTACATGGTTAACTGAAGGTTTTGTGTTGTGATTTGGGTTAATGTTTCATGAAATATCTGCTATATATGATTCCCATATTGACTTTAGGTAGATTGGGAAGGAAAAGTAGCTCTCATACAATGTGCAAAGGCCATGGGTATCCAAAAATTTGTCTTCTTTTCAATTCATAACTGCGACAAGCATCCAGAAGTTCCACTCATGGAGATCAAGAACTGCACTGAGAAGTTTCTTAGGGATTCAGGACAGAACCATATCATTATTCGTCTCTGTGGCTTCATGCAGGTGAACAAGTGCCTTGACTTTAATGAGTGTTTGGATGCCTAAGAAATGCAATAGCATTATTTAGCACTCTTGCCATGTGCATTACTGGGTTCACTTTTGCTCCTAATGAGGTTACGAATATGTTAAGTTGTTGGATAAAGTAACAAAGGGTACATTTTGGGTAAAAGATGAAAATGTCTTCGTAGTTTATCGTAAAACATGAGCATCATTTGGTGAAGAAAAAGTTGAGAGAGTGACTTCTGAGATATTTTACCATAAAAGATCTAGTAAATTAATATAATTGGAAGCACAAACTTTACAATATAAAAATACTTATCCACAAACTCGTGGTTACAATTACAAACAAATTGCTAAAATTTTTAAATTATCCTTCCTTCATAGAACTGGATGGGCATATAATTGTTATCTGTTTCATAATTTTTGTTTTTGTTCCTTTTCAGCCGAATAATTTAACTCGTGAATTAGTTTATTCATTCGCTTGATTAGTATGAATCTTGTTTCCAATTTGTCCAGGGCCTGATTGGACAGTATGCAGTACCTATATTAGAAGAGAAATCTGTTTGGGGTACTGATGCTCCTACACGAATAGCATACATGGATACCCAGGTAAACTCTATTCTCCTGCTTCTTTTGTTCAAGTAAGTGACCCTCAAACAATTGTCTTGTTTTCTCCAGGACATCGCTCGATTAACATTTATAGCTCTACGCAATGAGAATGTCAATGGGAAGCTTCTGACTTTTGCCGGGCCTCGTGCATGGACAACCCAAGAGGTAAACTGTATTCTCCTGGATTGAGGAAGAGAATGTCTAGTTCTTGGATTTATTATCAATATTTCTTTCTTGATAATGCCATTATTTCTGCAATTCATTGTTAACTAACAAAATACAGTTGCTCGGATACATGTTTTTAAGAATCTATCATTCCTTCCTCCTTTTTCTTTGACTCTATATAAATATACACTCCTCGCCAGGATTCCCCCACCCCACCCGCACCATAGGAGAAAGGATTCTTGTGCTTCAATGTTTCCACACTATCTTGATGACATACTCATGGAATATTTTTTTCACACAATAATAAAAAGAGAAAAAAGATCTTGGTCATGAGACTCACTCACAACTAAATGATTTGATAAAGAAAACTATATGATTTTATTGTCTGCTTTTCCAAATAATTTAAACAGCACTAGCAAACCATACCATGCCAATTCGTTTTCAGGCTTGAAACCCAATATCTGCAGGGGAAGAGCAACGAGGGGACTAGTATGTCAGAAAATACATCAAAGAAGTAGACTATCTTCAGAAAATATTTGGAATTGGTAATTATTTGAAGGAGACTACAGGTGTCAAAGATTACCATAAAAGCGGAAGATTAAGTAACTCGGAGAATTTTTTGATGCTTTCATGCCAGTTTTCTTGAGATTGTACTTGCCAATGCTATTTGTATTTACCATCATTATCTTGTGGCTAATTTTTCTATACATATCCTATTCAAAATCTCAAGTTGTAGTGCTTTTGGCTTCCTAAATGTCCAACTTAAAGAAAGTTATCCCAGAGTATGCCAGTTACACCATTCTGATGTTTTCACCTTGAGCTGCAAGATTTCATCCGTCCTTTGATCAATGGCAAGCAAACCTTTCTGCCTTTATAATGAAATATGCAATGCACTTTAGTATTACTAGCTAGCTTGAATTCTGTTAGAATTATATAATTCCAGGAAGAAAAAAAAAATGTAACTTGAACATAGAGCATTAGTGAACTTAAAAGTATTTCTTTCCTTATTCATATTCATAGTACTTTAGCAAAAGATATATTTCCAGCAGTATTACTGCATATGTACTCTGGGAGAAAGTGTTTTGTGGAGTCTTCTTTAGAACTTGTTCTTATTTTTAGGTGATAACATTGTGTGAGAGGCTGGCTGGTCAAGATGCAAATGTCACCACCGTCCCTGTCTCAGTTTTGAGATTGACACGCCAGCTGACTCGTTTGTTTGAGTGGACTAGTGACGTTGCTGATAGATTGGCATTTTCAGAGGTAATGATCTTTTTGTCTTCTCCTTTCATGTGATGGTTTCTATCAACTAATGCATGAAGTGAGAAAGATTGTATAAACACATGGAATGATTTTCTTCCATGCAACTCTCACAACATACTGCGACATGATTGACTAGATCTGACCTCTATCCATGATCTGTCTATTCTTTAACTAAAAAATTATTAATCTGATGGTAGAATTACGCGAACTACTTTCTTCCAAGATGTTTTCCAGATAATTTTCCAGTGGGCCTTGCATGCCTGTGATAGCCCATTGTCACAACAATTGCACAGATATTAATCTTTCTTTGCTTGGTGGTCTTTCTAAATTTAAATTACGTACTGCGGTGACATCTGTAGGTTCTTACTAGCGATACTGTTTTCTCGGTCCCTATGAACGAGACATACAATCTTCTTGGTGTGGATGCAAAAGATATTATTTCCTTAGAGAAATATCTTCAGGATTATTTCAACAATATATTGAAGAAGTTGAAGGATCTCAAAGCACAGTCTAAGCAAACTGACATTTTCTTTTGAAAGGAAATTTTCCATATCCATGCACATAAGCTGTATATGTATTGTGTAATTCATCTTGTATTCATACCCCAAAAAAAGAAAAATGTACATGTGCTTGATGGAAATAGACAGTTGAATGGTAATGACTGAATTGAAAAATCCTTGGTTTCTTATCTCTTTCAGTCTTTCTTGTTCCTGTTGGGATTTGTAGCTCTATGTGGCATCAGTAGGCTCTTGCTGCGTGCTCCTGGATTATTTGAACTGTAATTAACCCTCAAATTTAACAAAATTTTTGAGGGATATGGCTGTTTTGTAGAATTATTTTCTTCATTGGGTCTCTTATTTTAGAAATTGTTTTTTAGTTTTATGACCATGATTTTGAGAACTATATATATTTTTTAAAACACACGAAGCGACTTAAGATCTATCTATTGCAGGTCAAGGGCTTTTCACCCTCACCTTCTTCAAACTTCAATTCAAATTTTTCATATCTATTTTACATCATATCTAAGGGATTTCTCATTTCGGGCTAAAGAAGTAATGTCACTCGATCATTATCAAACTAATAGCAATCTTTTTTTGTCCTTGAATATCCCACCAAACGGCCTTCTACTTCTAATAGGCCATAAAATAGATTTGAATAACTTTCAATGAGTTCATAAGAAGTGATCCTATTTTTTTCATAGGATTTAGGTAGAGACAAATGATCTTGAGCGACCGATACAAAATGATAACATGCTAGTTAGCCGTGATTTTGTGCACAATGTTTGAGGTTAACATGGGAAAGCCATTGCTATACAGTAAACTGATCCTCCAAAAAGGATTCCAAGACCATTCAAGACATTAAAGATTCGTGCTTATTCTTGGCGGTGATGAACAGTATACAACAGCTTTGATTGATCCGGTGAGTGAAATGAGAGCTACTGAGTCCATGTTTGCAAAGAATTGAGCCACCAAAATTGCCAAGCTTATGAACACCAAGAACCACTGTGTCCCTCTTGAGTGATCTTGAATTACATTCAAAATCATCCCCACAAAGGACTTGGTAGGGATATTCCAGGGTCTTTTCCCCAGTGATTATGGACAAAACGCACGTACCACCTGATAGGTACATTGTTGAGAATACAGCCGGCAACTTCCCTAATTTTTCACCTATATTGTTCAAAAGGCATTCATAACGACAAATTTTCATTTGATAGCAATTATATTGAGATGGGATGGGATGGGATGGTTTCATTTGCTACTAACCAAAAACTACGATCGAGAGTTGGAGATATCATCTATGACGAAATCCTGATGGTGATTCATGAAGATTGACAAGAAGTCACTTTGTGTAGAGCTGCCAACAGAATGCCATAGACAAACAAACAGTGCCCCACAACCTGTACGGAACTAATCAAGGTAAGCGCTCTGCGCATATATATATTCTGACTTTATGTTTTATGTACTGAAATTTGAGAAGATGTTTAAAATAGAATGATTTTAATATGTTTTAACCAAGTGGATTTGTATGTACACAGGAATGAATGTAAGAAGAATTGATAGAGAAGTGATGAGAAAATTGAGTTGTTACTGTTGAGAAAAATGTAGGGAAATCTGCAAATTTAATGAACTCCAAAGCACAAAAAAAAACGTTATCTTTTAATAGACGTTTCTCCCCTATCCAATAAAGTCACAACTGGGGTATGATAGAAAATCTCTCTCATAATACAATGGAGACGTTTGATTCAAATTATGACTATTTGATCAAACCAAGAAGACACTCAAAAAGAACTTATTGATGCCAAGAGAAAGAAAGAAAAATAATTTTTTAATGTATTTTGCAAACGAGAATTCACCCAGAATTTATAGAAATTGAGGCAACCGTTTGAATAGGTGTGTCCCTTGAAATCCTTGCGTACATCTATTGGAAGTGACTGTTAAAAACGAACAGATGCACCTATTCAAAGACTTTTGAAAATAAAATCCTCTTTGCGCAGCAGCAAACACTAGTTCGGGCGGCAAATCATTCGCAAAACAAAAAATAAATACATGCAAAATGATGAAAAAATCTAACATATCCCCCCTATTTTTTCAAAATTTTGATTTAGAAAAGATGAAGTGGCTGTATCACAAAAATTGATTGCCTACGTACCCTTAACAGGATCAAGTCACTGTAGTTCATGCAAATACACACAAAAGGCATCATCGTAGGAAATCGTACAAAAATAAAAGTAGCTTTTGACTTTGAATTTTCACTTAATGTAAACAACTCAAAGTTTTGTCAAGGTGCTATGGTGAATGAATCTTGAACCAAGGACCCTATCATGACTAGCCGGGGTCATTATACATACTATTCCGATAAAAAGGAGTGTCTTTTTTATACCAACGCATTAATGGCCTTGCGTATATCCTGAATTTCATGAGTGCTTTAGAGACGATCTAAATCTCATAGAAAACGGCCTGACTTTCTCACTCACATAGGTAAGTTCTTTATAAAGTAATTCTGCGAGTTACTTTCTCTCTCAATAGAACTTATTAAGGAATTAAATCCATCCTCAACCATGCAGAATACATACACTAGAGATTTTATGAATGGATTTGAACTAATACTCTAGTGTCTCGTCTAAGTTAGACTTTAACTTGTTTGTACCCTTTGAACTTTGTTTATATTTCAAAACATAAGTAGGGTTCCCATTAAAGCTAACTGAAGTTACGTAGACCTCAATCCCATTCCTTTCGATGTTTTCGCAATCATCTCTCTAGCCAATCCTTTTGTTAAAGGATCTGCTAGGTTATTCTTCGACTCTACATATTCAACGGTGATTACTCCTTGCTTAAGTAATCCTCGAAGAGACTGATGCCTAATTCTGAGATGTCGTTGCTTACCATTGTAAGTCTTGTTTGCTACCGAATACAAAGTAGCTTTACTATCACAATAGATCATCACAGCTGGAGATGGTTTCTCCCACAATGGGATATCTATTAGCAAATTTCTTAGCCATTCAGCTTCTTTACTTGCATCAGTCAAAGCAATAAATTCTGCCAACATAGCCGAATCTAAGACACATGTTTGTTTCTTAGAACACCAAGAAACAGTTGCACCTCCTAAAGTAAAAATCCAACCTGTTGTGGATTTAGAATTTGATTCTATGTTGTTCCAATTTGCGTCGCTGTATCCTTCAAGTACAGTGGGAAATCCACGATAATGTAATCCATAATCAATAGTTCCTTTCAAGTATCTAAGGATTCTTGAAACCGCATTCCAATGTTCTTTTCCTGGATTACTAGTGAATCGACACAATATGCCAAATGCATATGCAATATCTGGTCTTGTACAGTGCATAGCATACATAAGACTTCCAATCACACTTGCATATTGTAGTTGGTCATAAGATCTACCAGTATTTTTCATTAACTTAATACTAGGATCTATCAGAGTTGATGCGGGTTTATGACCCATATGACCATATCTTTTAAGGATATTTTCAATATAATGAGATTGATTCAACAATATGCATCGATCTTTTCTTATTATTTTAATCCCTAAGATCACATTTGCTTCGCCTAAATCCTTCATGTCGAAGTTAGACTCTAGCAATTGTTTGGTCTCCTTAACACTTTCTAAGTTAGAACAAAAAATAAGCATGTTATCTACATACAAGCAAATAAGAGTACATATACCATTTCTACATGTAGAATAGATACATTTATCTGCTTCATTAACCTTGAAACCGTTAGACAACATTACTTTATTAAACTTTTCATGCCATTGCATAAGGGCTTATTTTAAACCATAAAGAGACTTGACTAGTTTACAAACCTTCTTTTCTTGTACAGGTAAAACAAAACCCTCGGGTTGCTCCATATAGACTTCTTCCTCCAAATCACCATTTAGAAAAGTCTTTTTTACATCTATTTGATGGACAACTAAATTGTGAGTTGAAGCAAGAGATGGCAACACGCGGATGGAAGATATCCTTGCTACGGGAGCATAAGTATCAAAATAATCTATGCCATGACGTTGTTTAAAACCTTTAGCTACTAATCGAGCTTTATACTTATTTATAGAGCCATCTGCATTTAATTTCCTCTTGAAAATTCATTTACAATGTATTAGTTTAGAACCACGAGGTAAATCAACCAGTTTCCATGTTTGATTTGACATAATGGATCTCATTTCATCATTGATTGCTTCTTTCCAAAGTACAGCATCTCGAGAGGAAATAACTTCTGAATATGTGACAGGATCACTATCATTATTGAGCATTAGCTTAGTCTGATGTGTAATATTATTTACAACACCTTCTAGCAAATAAGTCACAGATTCAACTCCGAAAGATTTTTCTTTCCTTTGTCTCTTACTCCTTCTAGGTTTTATTTCTGATTGTGGTTCAACAGAAGTATCATCAAGAGATTGTTCATGAACCCTCTTAGAAGAACTAGAAGTAGTATTATCTTCAGTTTGTATAGTTGAAGACTTGTATATATTTTCAAAAAATTCAGCATCAATTGATTCGATAATATCATAGGATTCTAACTTCAGAAACCTATAAGCAGTACTGTTTTTTTGCATAACCTATGAATACACATTTATAAGTTTTACTTCCTAATTTAGTGATCTCTGGATTTGGTTTTCTCACATATGAGAGACATCCCCACACCTTGAGACGGCTAATATTAGGTTTCCGGTTAAACCACAATTCATATGGAGTTTTGTTAATCTTTTTCATAGGAATCCTATTTAGAGTATAACATGCACTTAAGATTGCTTCACCCCACCATTGATCAGGTAAATCAGAACTAATAAGCATGCAATTCACCATTTCAACTAAAGTCCTGTTTTTCCTTTCTGCTACTCCGTTTGATTCTGACGAATATGGTGGAGTAAACTCGTGAACTATACCATTAGTTTCACAGAATTTTGCTAATTCTGCTACTTGGTATTCACCTCCTCTATCAGAACGTAGGACTTTAATTTTTCAGTTTAATTGATTTTCCACTATTGCTTTATAAATAAGAAATTTGCTTAAAACGTCATCTTTACTTTTTAGTAAGTATACATAAGCATATTTCAAAAAATCATCTATAAAGATCACAAAGTACTTGTTCCCTCCACGTGAAACTTTACTATGCAGATCAGCCACATCAGAGTGTATAAGACCAAGTAATTCAGATGTTCGCATAACAGATTTATGTGGTT